AACCTCAATCCAGGTTCATCTGAAGTTCAAAAGCTCAGATGAAGTGAGCCACAGAGAAATTGAATGAGGTGTAAGCTTAAACCCTAAAATTCAGGATGTACAAAATAACATAAAAGCAAGAAAAAAGTTAACCTCTTGTGAACTCCACTAGTCATGCATATAAACACACCTGCTGTGCCTGGATGAGAGTGTCATTCTGGAAAAGCGGTAACAGATGTGCTAAACCCTCTCTCTCAAATGCGTAATTCTCAAAATGCTGACATTTTAATCAGGTGAAAACCTATCAGATTTTGAGGAGAAAGATTTGCATGATGTCACAAGATCCAGTTTAGCTTAGAAGAGAATGTTTCGGCTCTGACTGGCGTGGCCCGGTGTGTTGGGGGCATCGCCCTGCAAACCCAAAGCTTGCTGATTCGATGCCCAGTCAGGGCATGGGCCTGGGGGTGCCCCCAGCTGGGGGGCGAGGGGGAGGCAACTGATCGATGTCCCTCACCCATCAATGTCTCTCTCCCTCCCTCCCTTCTAAAAATAAACATCTTTAAAGAATGTTTTTAAAAGTCAAAGTATTTTTTAAAATAGTTGGGTAACAGCACTGGGAATCTTAATAATGAAAAATTGAAATGTTCAAAACATTTGATCACGGTTTCTGTATTTTCAGCCAAAATATAGAAATACTGTAATCAATTAATCTTTGTGATTTTAAAGCAGATTAATGGGAAAAATCCACATAACAATGATCTGAAACTTCCATCACCTATTCACAATCAAACCAGTTTGTCTCAGAGCACCTTTCTGAGTTTGAGCTTACTGGTCTGTGCTTTGTAAGAAATGAGGCTGTTTCCTAAAAGTATTTCATTTTTAATTGCGTTCCGTCATTAAAAAAAACCTCAAGAGCTTTTCCACTGCTTTGTAGTGACTATGTCAAAGTAAATAATTCAGTAACTCAATTTAGACCCCATCATTCCCAGCTTCACACAGCTCTAAGGATTTTTCTCTGCTCTGTAGAATATAGTAATAAAAGTAGCTTAGGTGTGTTGAATCTTTTAATTTAATTATCTTCCAAACTTCTTGTCCCTTGAAATGTGGGATTGTATTCATCTACAATTCCACATATGCATAGAATCCTCAGTTCCAGTTCTATAAACTCAGGTACTGAGTAACTATTGCCTGTAGTTTTGAATAAAACGTTGCTCATTGAGCCAAAGAGAAAAGAATGACTTCTTGCCATCGAAAAGTATGTTTTTAGCCTCTTTGTTTTTGCCTACCAAAGTGTCTCTCTTTCTTTATAGCAACAATCTGTGGATATACACATTCCCTGTAAATGTCAGTGTGTGTCAGCATTTCAGAACCTGGGCAGGGACTTAGTTTGATGCTCTCAGGCTGATTTTCATTTTTGTGAGTTTGTCTTGTTTCTCGACTACTGTGTAGGTGGATGGTTCTTGCGCCACGACTCTTTGGACTGCTAACTGTAGAGGTTCGTTCTTTCCTCTTTCCATGTTCGAGATGCAATCGCAGACTTCTAGAGCCAGATGGTACCTTCAGGCCAGGAGTGCTTCAGGGGAAAGTATTTTGATTACATAACTCCCACCCACCAGAAGCAGGCACCATCATTGTGAACTAAATATTTTTGTCGAAGTCACAGGGAAGAGACTAGGCAGGAATGAGGAAAGTTGAATGCACCTCATCTGGAGATGACACAGGTCTTGTTTCTCAAAGATGCGAAAACCTACTGTGTAAGAGGCAAGGAAAGAGAACAGGGTCAGTCAGCCCTCCAACTCAAAACAGCCGGCAGCATTTCTCCACTGATGCTCTAGCTCTTCTAACAACTACGCTTTCTGTGTTTTTCTTCCTTAGTGTCAAAAACTCAGCTATAGGTCTGATGTGTATTTTTCCTTGTGCTATCTACTAAAACAAGCAAGTGCCACAAGAATCCTCTTCCAAAGAAGCAAAACTATTAATAACTTATGTGTGTCATATAGGTCATGTTTCAAACTAAGGCTGGAACTTCCAATAGCTGTGGGGAAAGTGGTGTAAAACACAAAGGAAGTACAGCACTGCACTGTGTTTTTGTTAGTGCATTATCGCATCTGAGTAAATATCTGTGATAGACTGAATTATTAGTTCCAACCTTACTTTCAGCTTTGGGAGCCCAAAATAAAGGAAGTGACATTTATACCTTATTTTTTTTTCCAGTCAAGCATTAATACTTGAGAGGTACGTTGTCGTCCATAGAATATTTTTGTAACCTGGAATTCGGGTCTCTTCCGAGCACTAGACGTGGTTCTAAACACTGTGGGTACTAAATTCCCTGTTTAAAACACGGAAGTGTGAATACTGTTTCGCTCACATTTTCATTTGTGCAGCGAACCAAATCTTATGGTTCCGGAAAGAGTGCCTGCACCCAGCCCACTACGCGGTGTTTCCATGAAAGTGTAATTTAAATACATCTGCTTTAAAGTGGAGATCAGGTGAGCTGCATGAAAAATATTTTTTAAAAAGCCTGCTGTAACATGGAAAGACTTCTCAGTGCAAGCTTAAACAAATGTTTTGTTTAAACTGTGGACCTTTTGGAAAATACAGAAGGATAACATTACTTGTAATTTTATGCAGTTAAGATAACATTTTATGACTAACAAATTGTTCCTAAAAGCTAAATATAATAATTCTTCTTGTGATATAAAAACCAACCAATTAAGACTTAAAAGACAAACCAGTCCTGACTGGTGTGGCTCAGTGGGTTGGGTGCCGTCCTGCAAATTGCAAAGGGTCACCAGTTTGATTCCCGGTCAGGGCACATGCCTGGGTTGGGGGCCAGGACCCCTGTGGGGGGCGAGCCAGAGGCAATCGATTGACCTCTCTTTCCCCCTCCCATCCCCTCTCTCTCAAAACCTTTTAAAAAAGACAAAGCAGTTTTTAAAAATGACCTTTTAGAATACATTTTATGAATAGGAAAAAACATTAAAACATAGTTTTGTTATACTTTTATAATTTATTTTCCTATATTGTCAAATATAAATGTGAATATATTTAACACAAAAGCAAAACAGTACAGGAAAGTACTTGTTTTTAATACAAAATAGTGAGTAGAAAGTGATTCACTCTTCGCAGTAAACAAATTAATCCTAAAATAATTCTTCAAATGTTTGACTCAAGGAAAGAAATAGCTTATTGTGATTTCTAGTTTGGCACAGAGTGACAACTTGCTTTTTACCCTGTTTGGATCTTATTCTACATAATCCTACTTCTTTTTTTCAGAGTAGATGTGAGCTGCTTCCATTTGGTTTTTTGCTCGCACGTCCCTGATTCCACACAAGGGAGGAGAGATAACTCAGGTGAGTCCCGGTCTCTGCCCCGAGTGGCTCCTGAGCGTGTCTGCTGGTGTGACCGCAGCCACACAAACACCAGGAAGTGCATGCACCATTTCCCAGGCTGGAAAGTCGCCCTTCTCTGCGGGCACATTCACCGCACTGCCTGTGCCATGAATTTAACATTTCCAACCTGATGGCACACTTAAAAGGGACAGTCAATATGGTCAATAATAAATAGCCACTTCTCATGGGCTAGAAAGCTTCTGTATCTCAGAAAGTTAGTATAAAGATTGACTTATTGTTAGTTCAAATACATAAGCTGAACATTGAAGCTGCTTTAACTTCAGGAACAAACCTTTCACATTCAAACAAGAGTGGTTTAAAAGGAACATACCCAAGAAGGTAATTTGTTGTCAAATCCAAAATGCTGATAAAGAACAGAAACACCAGCAGCTCTATTCTACCAACATCTTAGTAAACAACCGTGGCTTCGGATGTGAGAAGAAATTGCCAAATAAATTTGCTTAGACTAAACAAAAGACTTGGCCTACAATTCAGAGGGAATAGTCGAAGCATGAACGTGAACAAAGTAAACTGTTCCTCAGAGACAAAGGTAAAAGCTTATGTTATAATCTTAGCCTCTGGAAGAAATTAAAGTTTTAGTATTTTACTCACTTTGAAAAACAAATGAAACTCCAAGTTAGGTTTTTTGGGTCTTTGGTATTTGCATCTTGCAAATTCAAACCCCAAGTGTTCCCAGTTTCCCATGTACCCCACTGGCAGGAAGGGCACCACCCAGTCACTGACTTGCTCACCTCCTAAAAGGATGATTTTTAGCTTCCAGATTTTAGGTTTGCTAGAGACAGTCTCTACTTGCATACATATGGCAATTGTGCTACACAAAGAATATTTCTAAACTGTTCTCTCTTCAGAAACTTCACAAATGCTTTTTTCATCAGACGCTTTACAGTAGGTTGACTAACGCAAACTCTAGAAATTGTCGTATTGCAAGCACTCTGCATTAGTAGGTTGCCCTGTGGAAGAGTGTTCAGAATTTGCTCTGTGAGCTCGGAGGCTGTGGGACAGGGAGGTGGACCTGACACACCCCACCATCGGCTCATGCCTCTCCTGTGGTGCGCAGTTCAATACTATATACCAGTTTTCATTCTGCATATTTTCTGTGTCTTTCAGGTGCCGGTCAGATTCTTGGATTAACTTTTTAGATCTGTAGATTAACAGAGTACTTCAGTCTGCAGGACTCACAATTCCAGCCTCATACCATAAACTTGCACTAAATTGTTATACATTTGGTCTCTTTCCAAAATGTCAAGTCCACTTCTTTCTCTGATGGAGTCTTCAAACTCTTCTTTCCTGTCACAGTGGGAGAACCTGAAGCACTGAAGACCCTCCCTAATGACTCTGTCATTCTACGTGGATGTTAAGGTAATTGCATTAGTTTCATCCAGAAATTGCCTGAAAAGTTGCCTTCTCTTATTATGTTCACCTTATGTACAAGGTGATCATTAACACTCTTTCCAACAAAGTCCTAGCTTCCCAGTTGTGGTCTTTGAGAATCAGATCATGACACATCTGAACAACATACCTCAGCAACCTTGAGGGGTGATGGAGGGCTTTTTCAAGAAGGTTCTAGGTCATCTCCTGAGGTCAGTACACCCCCAATCCTACATCTCATTCCGTTTTTGAAAGCAGCTTTATTGAGTTACACAATGTTTATATATCAATAATATCTCAACTTTAGAAAACCAGAAACAACTTTACTGAGGTATAATTCACATACATATAAAATATCCATTTCAATGGTAGTATATTCACAGCATTGGACAAACAACACCAAAATCTACTTACAGGATATTTTCATCACCCTGAAAAGGAAACCCCCTATTGAGTTCCTCTCCATTCCACGAGTTACTCAGAGCCACTAATCCTTCTGCCCAGTCTACATGTTTCCTGTAAAGGGAATTTATACAGGATATGATCTTTCCAGACTGCCTCCTTTAACTTAATATTTCCAAGTTTCATCCCTGTGTAGCATGTATTAGTATTTCACTTTTTATTGCTGAATAATGTTTTATTGTATAGATATACCACATTTTACTCAGTCGTCAGTTGGTGGGCATTTGGATTGTTTCTACTTGTTGGCTATTATGAAATAATGCTATTAACATTTGTATATGTGCTTTCAATTCTCTTGGTTGTAAACCTCATCATAAAATTGCTGAATCAGGGAACTATGTTTACCCTTTTGAGCTACTGACAGTCTGTTTTCCAAAGTGGCTGCACTGCCTTATGTTCCCACCAGCACTGTATGCAGGTTCCGATTTCTCTACATCTTCACTATTACTTGCTACCATCTCCATGTTTAATTATAGCCATTCTGGTGGATGTGCAGTATCTCTCTGTGGTTTTGATTTGCATTTCCTTGATGAATAATGGTGTTGAGTAACTTTTTATGTGCTAGTTGTCCATTTGTTGTACTTTGTACTAGGTTTTGCTTCTTACAAAAACTGCTGACAAATCCAGAAACATTTTCAAAATACAGGTAAGTTTTTCAGTGCTAAGGTAATTATTCTGACACAGTTTTTCTTTGCTCTCTGTGCAATGACATGCTCCATGTTCTGGAGTGTTGACTTTGGGCTGCCCATCCTTAAGCCTAAGCTCCTCCAAACACATGGAAACTGAAAATCTTTCAGAATAATGCCATCATTAAGCTTTTGCTAAAGCAAGTGTTTTCTCTAACTCCTTGAGCTGCATGTTGCCTTGTGTAATCATCATCCGGATTGTATCCTGTAGGAGAAAATGAAATCTGGTCACTGTTTTGCCTAGTTAATCAAGGTACAGCTGTATTACTGCATCTGTTAAAGTCAGAAACCAACACTGAGAATTCAAATGGCTGCATATTAAGAAAGCAAAAGCTGATGATCAGGAGTGCACAGTGTGGGGAGTCACCCTTCCCCAAGGATACAACCACCAGGCTGTAGTAATTATCATCTTCGTGTGTCCGGGGGGATTGGGGAAGGTTAAGAGAAAAGTCAGGTGATGCTAATATAGAATGTAGATATAGCAAAGTTGTAAAATTTTAAATATTTAAAATGCAGACAATCATTAATATTAGACCAATGGTCAAAATATACCATCTCAGTGGCATTTATACTCCAAGATGACCACTAAACGTTTGTAAAAATTCACTGAACAAGCACAAGGGGTCAGAGCCTATGATGGTGGTCTTACCTCTTCAGTGGCATTTTTGTTTCTTTTGAATTCTTCCCGTGCCCAGTCCTTCAGATATTTGCGATCAGAATCAATTGGAACTTGCTGGATTGCTTTCAAAATCCTTCGGTAGAGAAGGAGAACTTGTTGCCTTCTCAAGAACTGAAAAGGGGAGAAGAAATATCAGTTACAACTGCACAACCAACAGCCCAGAGGGCTCTACTTTAGCAAATCAAACTAACCAGATAACTTATCTTAGACATTGGGCAGCTGAGGCGTCAGGGGACCAAGAGATCTACAGCCTATCCAACCTTTTCTGTACAGACAGAAAAGTCCCGGCCAGCTCCCGTCCTCCCCCTCCCCCCCTTCTCTCTTTCCCACACACAGCACTACGAGAAGCCCCGCCCCCTCCAACCCAGGCTGGATACTGGGTGTAGGATCACTGACCCCAGCTGCTCCCCAGACGCATTCCATGGATTGGGCGTAGGGAGCGCTCAGGCCCAGGAAAGAGGCCATAGAAGGCCCATGACAGCGGCTGGTACCTGCTTTAACGTTAGTGTTGCAGTGGGTAAGCGGGAAGCAGCCATGTCCTCCAGAAGTGAAGATTGGCTGGAGCTACAGTGCGCAGGAGCGGAAGTGGAGGAGGAACCAGGGGGTGGGGCGAGCTCGGTTTCCCGGGAGATGGCGTACAGATTGTGCAGATTGCGCGACAGTCTGGTGAGCCCGGGATTTTGGAATCAGGAGCTGTGTAGCTTTGGGCATTTGCAGTTGTCTTAGGCTAAATTTCTCATTAGGTTCTGTGCAATGAATGGAAAGGGATTTAGCACAGCTCTTGATATATGGTTATGAGTTTCATTAAAGGGTTTTTTGGAGGTGAGGGGGGAAATTATAGTGTACTTCTTTTGGGCTTTTAAAATGTGTATAGTTAGAATACCAGAAGTATAAATATTTCTTTTATAATTTGTGTCCTCCTTTGCTTTTTTCAGCGTGGTTGTCTTTTTTATTCTTTTTAGTTAGGAGGCTTTAAATGGCTGCTGCCCTGTTGAGGCTTTAAAAATTTTACATCACCAGCCAGCCAGCCCTCATCTGTGTGTGCCTCAGTTGGCTGAGCGTGTTGGAGCATATGCCAGTGTTGCAGGTTTGGTCCCTGGGTGGGGGCATAGGAACTGATCAGTGATGTTTCTTTTTTTCTCCCTTCTTTCCCCCCCTAAAAATTAAAATTTAAAAATTTAAAATAACTTGGTATCACTAATAACAATGCACATCCCTATGCCTTTATTTCCTCATAATTATCTTGTCCTCCCCATAACACACACAAGTCCTTAGGTTGTATTACTGTGTAAGTGGGGCTAGTGAATCTTTGCCATACTTTTTCCAAGTAGGATTGTTCAAACATGTTCATCTCTTCATTTGATGAACATTTACGAAAATGTTCAATTGCCCATTTACTTGTGTTTTGGAATTTTTGGTGCTCCCTTTTCCTAGACGTGTTCTGGTTACCTAACCTCTCCCCGTGTGTGAAGTGAGGTGACACGCTTCCCTCAGAGCTGTATGTGTAAAGCACTGACAACAGGCAGTGCCACACGTAAGCACTCCAATGATGAGCTTTTCTGAACATTTACCCCATGACTACTTTCTTTTCCCAAAATTAATGTTGATTTTTTCCCTTTAAATATTAGTGAGATTAAACATCCCTACTTTTAGTTATGCTTATTTTGTGACTTGTTGTGACTTTGATCCATTAATGCTGAATAAAATTTTTATTCCCATTTCCTAAGGATAGAAAATTTGCCTATTTTTAATTTTTGTCTTTTATATAGCTTTAAGTCTCCATATAATAAGGTGCTATTTTGAGGCTTTTTAAAAATACTTTTTCATTGTTGTTGAAAATATTTACTCCATCTAGATTTTGATTAATGGTATCATGTGGACGTTAAGTTCTTTTTCAACTGCTAAACTACTATTTTGATACCATTTAATTATTCCTTTTTGGACTTTGTGATGCCCACAGGGTAAAATTCTCTTAGGATTTGAATAATCTGTTCAGGATTATTTATCTGGAACTAATATACTGTTTTTAATTCTTGTTATTATCTGGTAGGAGGACTCTTCTATTTTCTTTTCCCTTTATTTTCGTTGACACCATTACAGATGTCCTCCTTCCCCCTCCCCTCCGCCCACCTCCACCCTGCCTCCATTCTCTCCTTCCCTTTGGCCACACTATTGTCTGCGTCTGTGAGTCTGTGAGTTACGTATCTATGTCCTTTGACTAATCCCTTCACTTTCATCCAGTCCTCCTCTCTGATAGTTGTTACTCTGTTCCATGTATCCATGCCCATGTCTATGTCACTCGTCAGTTTATTTTGTTCATTAGATGCTCCATATAAGATCATACAGTGTCTTTCTCTGACTGGCTTATTTCCCTTAGCATAATAATCTCCAGGTCCATCCATGCTGTTGCAAAAGGTAAGATTTCCTTTTTTTATGGCCAAAGATGTACAACAGCTTTTTTTTTTTTTTAATCCTCACCCAAGGGCATACTTATTGATTTGAGAGAGAAGGGAGGGAGAAAGGGAGAGAAACATCAGTTGCCATTCACACGCACCCCAACCAGGTACCAAACCTGGAATCAAACCTTCAACCTTTTAGTTTATGGAATGATGATTCAACCAACCAAACCACACCTGCCAGGGCTGTACCATGGTGTTTTTGCCACTCATCTGCTGATGGGCACTTAGGTTGTTTCCAGATCTTGGCTGTTGTAGGGGTGCATTTTGGTGTTTCAGAATTCTTTGGACATATTCGCAGAAGTGGAATCCTTGGATCAAAAGGCAGTTCCATTTCTGTGTGAGGAAACGCCATACTATTTTCCACAATGGCTGCACCAGTCTGCGTTGCCACCAGCAGTGCACTAGGCTTCCCCTTTTACCACATCCTCGCCAGCACTTGTTGCTTGCTGATATATTGATGATAGCCATTCTGGCAGGCATGAGGTGAGATCTCATTATCATTTTAATTTGCATCTCCCTGATGGTGACATTAAGCATTTTTTCATGTCTGTGGGCCATCTGTTATGTCCTCTCTGGAGAAGTATCTATTCCAGTTGTTTGCCCATTTTTAAATTGGATTGTTTCCCTGGTATTCAGTTGTATAGAAGTTCTTAATCAGACTATGATTGGCTAATGTTCTCCCATACAGTAGGTTCCCTTTTCATTTTGTTGCAGAAGCCTTTTAGTTTGATGTAGTTCCATTTATTTTTCCCTGTTTTCGCCCTGCCCTAGATTTTTTGGCCAAGAATATCGCTACAAGAAATGTCTGAGCCCTGGCTGGTGTAGCTCAGTGGATTGAGTGCAGGTCCGCGAACCAGAGGATCGTGGTTCTATTCCCAGTCAGGGCACATGCCTGGGTTGCAGGCCAGTTCCCTGCAGGGGCCAGTTCCCAGCAGGGGACGCACTAGAGGCAACCATACATTGATGTTTCTCTCCCTCTTTCCTTCCCCTCTGAAGATTATATAAATAAAATTAAATTAAAAATTTTAAATATATGGGATTTTACTGCCAGTTTTCTGCTAGGATTTTTTTTGGTTTTGAGACTTAAATGTGTTTTATCCACTTTTGAGTTTATGCTTGTGTGGGGTGATCTGGTGGTCTAGTATCATTCTCTTGCATGTACCTGTCCAGTTTTCCCAGCATCGTTTATTGAAGAGACTGTCTTTATTCCATTTTATGCTCTTTCCCGTGTAGTTTCCTTTACAAATCTTATATATTCTTAATTTCTATGTGACCTTTAGAAATGTTTTTTATCATTTCCCTCCAGATCACCTTAGGATCTTTATTAAAACTGAGTGTTCTGAGATACTTTTATCCCTTTCTTTTTGTCCAGCAACAGTCACTTGTGCTGGATACTGTCAGTCCATCTGCGTCCTGCCCTCAGCCTCGCACTCTGGGCAAGACGACACACAAATTCAGGAAAGCCTTACAGATGTCAGGGTTCACAATATGGGAGCTTATTCTTCCCAGAAGGCTCATCTCTAAATGCTTGTCACAAATGCCAGTATGTAAGAAAATTCCAGATGAAGAACTAATGGAATGTTAGCAGGATCCCTGTGGTTTGCTGTGACCAGATAGTGTGGGGTGGGACACAGGAAGAGGAACTGCAAAGGGGCCTCCGGAAGAACTTCTGAAAGATTTCCTTCGATGTTCTGGACAGTGCAAAGTGGTTAGTTTGGGGTACCACTCAATACTGCAGGCTACAGACTTAGAATTTCAGCTGCAGTGCAGTCAGGAGCGGGGAAAGGAAAACAGGGTAAATGTCCAGAAGTCAGTAATGCTGTGGTGCCATCTCACCTGGCATTTTTCTAACTGCACGTGGGGGTAGGTGTTTCTATCTAGCTCTTCGCTGAAGACCATTTTCTGCACTGTTAAATATTTGAGACAGTGAATATAAAAAATCCCAGCTGCAGTGCAGCCAGAGGAGAGAATTTGGAGCAGATGAGATTGGGGTTTGCATGAAGAACGTCAAAGCGGATGTAAAGATTGAGTAGAAGGTGAGTGTGAGAGAGGAAGCATATCCTCGGTACCTTCTAGGTGACTCATGCTTTCACTGAGGGCCCGGGTCTGCCTGACCTCTGCCTTCCTTTCCCCACCGCAGCACAAGCTGAAAACTGCACACTCGGGCCATTGCTTACTGGAGCCGCTGTGCCAGACCCTACGCACTCTTCTGGGAAGCTTTGGTTTGGATGGCCCTGTCAATTAAAGGTGGATACAACACAACACCACATCACTGTCATAATGCTGGTGTCCTTTCCTACCAGATCCAACCCTGCTGGAAGAGTAATGCTCTGCCCAATGAAATCTGAGTGGGAGAGAGGTGTCATTTTGGAGCAGAATCTTTACAAGCCATTGTGTGTTTCTGCCAAGCTGCCACGTTTCCAATACCACAAGGCCAGCCAGCCTGCCAGAGCTCACCATCCACTGCTGTGAAAACAAGAAACCCTCACTGTAAGTAAAGCCACCGATGTTGTGGGGCCCCATCAGACCATATCACCACCCTTTCAACACTCAACTCTTTAGTTCACTGAGAATGGTCACAAGTCATTGCACCAGTGGTATATATATATATATTTTAATAGTTTTCAGATTATAAGATGCATAGCTTTTTAGGATAAAAAATGATGATACAACAGCAAGTACATGCTTAGGACACCTGGTTAAACAATAAGCAATCTGTCTTCGATGACCACCTCAAAAGGGTGGCAAACTTCACAGTGTAACGTGGTAACAGATGCAGAGATAGACACATCATGGCGTGTTGTCTACAAAACAACAGTCTGACAGTCAGAACTTAAATAGAACGTAGCACAGCACAAAGTTTCAAGTATTCAAGCACTGCTTTCTGGCCAAGTAAAAACTGCCTTAAAAAGTATTTTGACTGAGGGAAAAGGCAGATGCAGCCGTTTAGGTCTTTTGGATACAGCCTATGTTTTTCAGAATGAGACTGGCTCAGTCAAGCTTGAAAGCAGTGTGAGGAATGATTCTTGCCCTTAACTGTTAAGAAAAAGAAAAAAAGGAACTAAAGAAATAAATTACTACAACAGCAGGAACTATGGCACCAAAAGAATGAAAGCAAAGGGACAATCATCTTCCCATCATTGCATAGTCTCCCAAAGCAGCAAAATGAGAAGGACCCTGAGAGCCACTCCACCTTCACAGAGCCCAAGGGTCCTCTCTGGTTACCTGAGCTGCCCCGATGTCTGGATGCTTTCTGAGCACACCAACAAGCTTCCCGCCTTTGAAGAGAAGGTAGTTCCTCTCACACGAAGTACAGTAAGAAACAACACACTCAGACTCTGAAAACTGCAGCCGTCTCAGCCACCGGCAGCTCTTAGACATGCACACAGGGGGCTGGGCAAAGCCAAACCTTAGAGTGGGGTCAGAAGCACAGGCCCCCTTTGAACAACAGTGGACAGCTGGGCCCAACCTTCTCTCAGGCACCTGCGGCTCCTTCACTGCCCCAGGTTGGTTATGAGAAGAGCAGCCTAGGCAAATAAGGAGCTTGAGAATTTTCTCTCTGCTCTGAACTCATGTGAAAATATACATTGATAGTTTTTGTAGCTGTTGAGTGGATTCTTAGATAAAATATTTTAGAGCTGCAAGCTCAGAAGCAATTGTCTAAAAAGGAGCACCTGGGCAAGAAAAATGCCATCTTGACTGTGGTTTAAAGTCTCAGCTTTGGACTGCGTTCTTTCTGGTCTACAGGTGGTCAGAAGCTGTCACCAATTCAAACCACTGCCTGAGAGCATCGCTGAGTGTCTCAGGGAGTGCATTCACATCGCGAAGAATTATGTAGAAGGGGAATGGGAACTCCTCCATGTAGGATCGGATTTCAGGCATCTCTCCAGGTCCTTTAAATATTGGTACTTTAATGTCCAAGATAGAATCCTGTCAACAGAAGACATTTGAGATAAAAGTTAAGTCAGTGTCCTTGGTTAGCTCTTCCATGGTCTCTTCGGCTGACATTTTTCAGGTTGCCCATGTGTAATTCCTGCATATGAAAGTGACTTTCATTACTAGTAAAGTAAAACACCATTTTCAAAACTCTTGCTGAGGAAAAAGCAGACCTTTCCAAGCAACCCTTCTAGAACAGGCACCTGAATGGGGGGAGGAAGATACGAAAACCCGGTTTCTCTATGAGGGCGTGTCTCATTCTCAACGTGGAACAATTCACGTTAAGTCTCTCACCTGCCCCGTGGAGATGACGCTTCCCCTGGAGCAGCACTGCCCCGGGCGGGTCTTTCACTTGGTGACTTGTCCTCCTGCCTGGAGCAGGGCACCACTGACACAAGTGACCGGAAAGGGCTTGTCTACATTTCCACGAGGACAGGGCCACTACCACGAGTCGCCAAAAGAAGGAGATGGACTCTGGAGTCAGTCAATCCTGGCTTTCCTACTCATTACTTGTGTTTCCGTCCTTCGCTAAAGCAGGAATGATCCCCACCTCAGTGCGTTATGCCAAATGTAAAGAGCCAGGGACACTGCACCAGGCCATGCTTCAGACAGAACACGCAGGAGAGCATCTCCACTTCATCCTCAGAAAAGTGGCTTTTAGCCATCACTCACCCGTGAACTAGGATTATCCAACACAACAAAAATGACGAAGATGTTCGCGTTCCGGGCAGACTGGACAGCTGCCTGGACTCTGTCTTTACCCTCGAGGAAGAGGCCGCGGCCGTCCGAGACCACCAGGAGGAGCTGTGCGGTGTCTGCAGCAAACAGAGCAGGAAAAGAAGCCATTTTTAACAATAACTCAAAACTACCTAAAGTAAGTTCAGGCTTTTTCTGTACTACCAACACCTGACAGACCCTCTGGAACTGATGAATTCTGGGCCTGAGTCAGGGACTGAACAACACACAGAGCTCCTGTCAGGTATACATCTCCCAATCACGCTGCAGGGAATGTCCCCTTCAGATTAACCTAATTGGAGAGTGACATATGACAACTAAAATACATGTCTTTGGCTATAAAATACAAAAATGCAGTATTGGAGCCATTAGAAGAAAAGTACCCATCAGAACCCCAGAATTGTCTCAATGTTTTGCCAAGGTCTTATATCTGACTTCTGGATTTTTTTTCTTGAAATCAGTTTGAAAACTTAGAAGGGACCATTAAAATGAACAACAAATTAAAATGGTTAGCTATCAGCAAAAGACTGTCGTGTCTGAGGGCAGCTGTTTCTCGAAGAAGTTCACCAAGTCTTGTGAAGCACAGAGGACTAGCTGCGCACTGCAAGTTTCTCCACGGTACAATCAAATAGCCAGATACAGAACCTGTGTTTCAGCCCCGAATCAATCATGGCTGGACTGGCTGGTTTCTGAGTTATGTCCTCCTCTAATTAACTCCACACACATGACTCTCAATCTAGCAAATAAGTACATACTACTTAATATAAGTTAGTGTAATTCCTTCATTGCTTATAAGCCTCTGGGTACAGGTTCAATAAAAGTTTTTGAAACAATGAGTGAAACATTCATGAATGCCTAGTACCTCCATCTCCCATTCCTTTCTTTTCCCGTGGATCGGGCACAGTGAGATGAAGCAAGCAGCTTGCAAACACAGAAAACAGAAAATCGTTTGTCAAAGGTGAAAGATGTAGCTCACCTGGACTGATGTTCTGTGGGAGCTGAGGGGCGGCTGCAAACATGTTGGCTACAGATTCCAGAAACTAAACCAAACCAGAAACAATCAGAAAACTATTCGAACTCTTCCCACGGTCAGAACTAATGTTATTTCTGACACATAAGGAACTGTCAGTAACCGTCTCGGGTCACTGCCCCTTCCAACCACCTGCAGGCAAGGAACACTGCTTGGCATTTACCCTGAGGTACTGGGACCTGCAAATAGTTGTGTTTGAACAAACCCCACCGTGTTCTACCAGACACTCGAAAAGAAACGGTTTGCTGAAGAAGTACCACCCCCCAAATAAAGCAGTAAAAAAGAGGCAATAAACACAAAATGCCCGGTGCAACATAAAGAACTAAATGAGGGCAGGAATCAGGTCATCAGAATTACTGCCCCATGCTGTGTTTTGAACCTATTGGTCATCCTGAGGAAGTCACGGGCTTTAGTTTTATACCATTTCTACTGTAGGCTAAATAGGGGAGAGAAATTGGCCTTAACCCACCTGATAAAAGTGCTGGGAAATGGTTTATTTTTCAAAATGTTCCAAAAAACAAAAAGAAATGAAACAAAAAGAAATGAAACAAAAACACCTCTCAGAAAAATAGGAAAAAAAACCCAAAGCTACAAAGTCAAAATGATCTTTGAGAGACGGAAAAAGAGGTCGGATTACACCGTGTTTAATAACGGGTGCCAAGGACGTTTCCGTCCCCACAGTACACAGGCTGGAGTTCATGACTGTTCTGTACGGTAAATTTTATCACTCCTAATACCACAGTGGGAAGAAGGTGTTCTGAAAATCATTCCTCTCCTAAATGAGAAACTGCAGAAGACATCTGATGTCATTAGCATACCTGAGCAATCTTGGTTTTCTTTTGTTGGAATTTGCAGAGCCGCAGAATCTGGGATCCTGAGTAATCACTGAACTGTTCGTGGAATGGATGTAATAGCTTTACAGACTCTCCAAAACTTAGGGGGGAAAAGCCAAATATAACGGGGTTATTTTTTGTCACATGAACAAAACAACCAGAGGTGGCTGGTTTTCCCAGTGTGAGGAGAAGTGACCCTTACCTACACACCGCTATCTGACCCACTTCCAGAAGGGTGAGAGCATTTCCGATCACAGCCAGAGACTCAAATGCAAGCTGTGAAATAAAGTTAGGGGTTAAAGGAATCAGACTCTCTTCTAGACCAGCGCCTTTCAACCTTTTACACACCAAGATTGCCACTGAAAACATTTTTTTTGGTATGGCCCCTAGGAGAACACCATCACTATGGCTACTCACAACTAGCCCAGAAGCGTTGGTGTCCCTAGGCCCTGGCTAAAACCACAAATGCTGAAATCCAGAACCCGTTACACTTGTGGGAAAGGTCCACTCTAACATCAACCAATAAGTGATTTGGGCCCTGGCTGGTGTGGCTCAGTGGACTGAGCGCCAGCCAGTGAACCAAAGAGTCACTGTTTCGATTCCCCATCAAGGCACATGTCTGTCGTGAGCCAGGTTCCCTGGTGCAGGGCACCGGAGAGGCGACCACATATCGATGTTTCTCTCCCTCTTCTTCCTCCCTTCCCCTCTCTAAAATCTTTTTAAAAAAGTGACCTTGAGACAGTTGGTCCTTAAATTTAAGTTTTCCTTTTTTGACTGCATAAAAAGTAATTTCTTATGGGTAAAAGATATTGAAAACCAATTTATTCTAATCATGCACAAATGATAGCAATTTTAAATTCATTTGATTATGATGATACCTATAGCAACTAACATCTACTGAATACCTATCAAGTGCTAGACATTAAACCAAGCACATCCATTATTTCATTTAGTTTTCATAACAACTCTCGAGTTTGAGGGGGGTACTGTTATAATCCTCATTTTTCAGACTGACTCTTAAGAAGTAATTAGCTGCCCAAAGTCAGGCTGCAGTGAGCGAGTCACACAGTAGTGGGGAGGTGGGATCTGAACCCAAGTTAAACTTCTCCCAGCAGAGCCTATGTATAGATTTTAGGTTGCTCAGTGGCTCATGCTGCGTAACAGCTTCACTGTAAAAAGGAACACACTCTTCAGTATCCATGACATTTAGGGCACCAAAGGTAATTCTATTCAGACCCTTAAACCTTGTTACTACTGATAGAACACGAACTGTAGATAATTTCAGGCATAGAGGAATGTGTGATGCATGTATTTTTTTAAAAAGATACTCCAATACTATGTGTATGGTCTAAAGATTAGTTTAATAGTAAACTGCATTTTGTGGAAAACAATTGATTTACTTATTCTGTAGCTAAACAACAATTTAAAAGACCTATAAACAGTAAGGGGCCAAAGTATTTGAGACATCTTGAAATTGCCCCTGTGAACTAACACAGTATTCACAATCTCAGAAAAGACTAACTGGCATTTCACAGTGTTTTTTCAAGGTCATATTTAAAACGCGATGCCTCATGGGACATGGTTTGGTGTTCGGGAACCTCTCTTTCTTACCTGTTTGGTATGGTTGTCTACCATGCTAGAGGAGTCATCAATAGCCAAACAGATCTGATACTGGCGTTTACTGGGCTTGGTCCTTCGAAGCCAAATCTTGTCTTTTCGAAACTGACTAGCAACGTATGGAATAACCTTCCGCATGTTCAGTCGCTTCCCAGTTCGATAGTCTCCTCTATTAAATGTACCCAAATGGACAAAGATGAGTTAAAAACTGCTCACCCCTTGAGAACTTTCTGAAGGATGAAATCACATTCATAGTACCTTATAACCAATTATACCAAATAACCAGTAACCTAGCACAATGAGGGGTTACTGCGACAGAGGTCTGAGGGCCCAAATCTTGATCAGTAGCTAAAAAAAACTGGTTATGTATGTGGCAGTAATAATTAGGTCCAAAAAACTGGGACTTTTTTAGTTCAGGGTAAAAAAACCCATTTGCACTGACTTGGATTCTCTTTTCTGGTCTCCGTACATGATTTTGTACACGATTCAAAGATCTTCCGCGATCTTTGAAAGATCTAGCGGAGTAACACACAACACGAGTCACCCGACGTGCAGCAGCAGTGTGTGCAGCACACACAAAGGCCTGGCCAACTTTCCAGAGAGAAGGCATCCATACTGAACTTCGCAGAAACTTGTGGCAGATACCAACACGACAGCAGGCTAAGGAACACCACACTGGAGGCTGCACTGCAGAAATGGCAACCCAGAAGCCAGCACAGTAAGTGGGTAAGTGCTGAGCTCAACGAAAAAGGCAACACTGCCATCTTCACAGGGCACTGTGAGCGTGTCCAGCGGAGACTTACTTCAGTTTGGCTGCCTGGGTGGGCTCTAGTATGAGACGAAGCTGCTCACACAGCTGTTGTGAAAGAGGTGCCGTCAGCATCAGGTAACTCTGCCACATCTCGGCGGCAGCCTTTTCCTGCGACAACGGCAACAACATGTAAGTTACTGTGAGAGCAGCAGAGCCAACCAAAGTCATTACAGCAAGACGAAGGTGTGACCCTAAGCAGTAGAAAGTAAATCGCATGAACTTTCTCATCAAAAGCCCTTTTAAAGCTTTTCTTGGCTGCTAATTCACTTAAATAAAAATGTATCTCCCCCACCAAAACCACAATACAGTACAGTTTCAACTAAGGAAGAATGGAACAAGACGGTAAAATATTAGAATTCAGTGCCTTATTCACATCAATTATAGAGGGAGCTGTGAACGGGCAGGAGATCCAGCCACTTAACCACGGGTTCTCAAGGTTGTGTTTCAAAAGCGAAAGCAACGAGTGCAGATCTCCCAAGACACACCCAGCAGCCTGCCCACTTCCTGGACACAAAGCTCCACGACTTTCTTTGCCAACTACAGCAGAGCAGGCACACACATAGGGTAGGAACGATGCTACTAACATACATACACAGCAAGTTTAGAACACAGTCATTAAAAAGAGAACTTCTGCATGATCCACATTACACCGGCTGGCAATGTTCCAGGTGCTCTGAGGATGACGTGGTATCTTTTTGCCATTTTTCAACCACTGTGACATCTATTATATCCATTACAGAGTGACGACAGAAGTTAAAAATCCTATCCGTTTCTCTGTTTTGATTAACCTATAGGTCTAGTGGTACAGCAGGCAGAAAGCAAGGGACAGCCATAGGCTTCAGGAATGTAATTACATTCTCCACATACCTGGTCCCTTTTATAAAGGTTAATGGAGCTAAGAACCTGTAACATTAAGCTTGACTTTAACAAAAGTCAAGATATTGTATGAAAACACCAGTGACTTACTTCTTCTGGGTTTCCAGATTCATGTGGCTGCCACCTCTCCAGCTGTCTCTCCAGCTCCCATCTTAACTCATCGATGTCTTTCACGAAGGGCTGAGAAGAGGAAGAAACCACAGCTGAGAGGCAGCCCAGACTGGAACCGCCAACTCACCTTCCGGCCACCTTCTCCCTGCAGTGTGAACTCCAAGCACGTACCTCTGAGGTACCGACCTTAAGTACAGTAAAAAGATGCCACATAACCATTCTTCCCCTGCTTTCCATTTGTTGAGACAAGATGGATAAAGAGAATTTATTGGGGTGATATTGGTTAATAAAATTATATAGGTTTTAAATATACAGTTCTATAATACATCATCTGGATATTGTGTGAAAAAAGGAAATTTTAACATAAATCCTAGCAAAACAAGACCAAATTCCCATCAATATCAATAATGAAAATTTCTTTGATTAATCTACACTGTCCTTAATTCAAATAATTACCGAAAACTATTATTTGGGTCTTCCTAAATGCATTCATTAAGTCAAAGACTCTTGCTATTTAACCAACACAAACTGTTAACTGTCCTGTAGGCTCCTTATACAGGCATGGTGACAAGAGGGGAGAGAGCCAGACACCCACCGTCCCTGCCAGGTCAGGGCTCAGATCGCCTGCTGTAATCCTGGGATTAACCCTGAGAACAGTGTTTCATCCGCTTGGAGAGCACCGGTCATACCTATGATCCTAAAATTTTGATAAGGATATGATGCCCCCAAACAACCAGATGTTCCATAAAGTTCTATAGACAAAGATTTAAAAAGGAATATACAATGACATTTCGTCAACTTACTAAAGCAGGAACCAGTGAAAGATTTGCCCCTCCCCTAATCACCTCCCCAACCCCACCACTTGTCAACCTTTTAGCACCTGGAAAGTGGTGTCCACAAGGAACTGACGGGCTGTATGGATGGTCGAACCTCGGCTTTTCTCTGGTTCCTCACTCTCTGTCTCCTTGTGGGGTTTGTCTGTTCTCGGGTCTTGGTCTTCATCTGTTTTAACAGTTTTGGTCTCCGTCTCCGTCTCATCGAAGCCTATTTACATACAAAAACATACTTTTACTTACAATAATGTTAACGTAAAGACTGAGCTCTCATGGTTGCCTGTCAATCCTGACAATCAAACTTCGCTCCTTCACTCCTCAACACACCTCTAGATACTTGTTCCTCTGGGTCAATCTGAAACAGTTGTTACCAAATAAATTCTTATTTCCCTAACTTCTCTTTCCCTCCCCATGAAGATGGCTATTCTGAGGCAGGAATAGGGGAGAACATACAAGGGGAGATCCTCTCCCACAAAGCAGAATTTATTTATTCTACATGTTTAAACTTCAGTCACCTTCAAGGTCCTCTCCATTTGATGCAACACACCTACTGAGATGTCTTTTCTACTACTCAAAAAATTTTTTGAATTTAATTTTGATGCCTTTTAGTGCTTCTGCTATTTTTTGTTTCACCTCTTCCACAGTGGTAAAACATTTTCCTTTTGAAGACTTTTTTCATCCAGGGAAACAAAAAAAAAAGTCACTCAGGGCAAGATAGGGTGAATAAGGAAGGTGGGGCTTGACGGTCATTCTTTTTGGTCAAAAACTGAACACTTATGCAGTGTGGGCAGGAATGGTCATAAATCACTCTTCATGAAATGGGCAAACACATTAAAAGCATCTTAAAAAAAATCTACCAAAGCTGAACGCAGCCTCTCACAACAAGGCCAGCTGGTTCATTAATATACATGGGTTTCCAGAACCCTCACCCATGAGGAGGGGAAGCCTGTACTATAAGGGGCCCACCTCCAGAAGACAGTTCTGGGTTTTCTTGGGTTTCCTCATAGTTTACACTGACAGGCCCTGAAGAGCTGTGTCATACTTAAATTATGTAAAACTTTAACAGAAATAAACACGAAAATAAATACAAAGTTCCATTTTATAGATGAAGAAACTGAGACAAAGAAATGCTAAATAATGTGGCTCAAGCTGTGAGTTAAGAGGCAGCTGTGCCTTTCCCACTGCCACGTATCAGCCGGTCAGCCAAAGGCGCTAATGCCCCTGAGAGGGCAGGGAGGAAGGAGGAAAAGCTTCTGAATTTGGCAAGTTCTTTTACATTCGCATTTCTTCATTATTGACAGTTCATTTTTACCCTGCTGATAGTTATTTTTAATGGGTTGAATACATTTAAAAAATAAACTAGTAATAGCTCAAAGTTAACTATTAAAGTAACTATACACAAAGTTTTAATACTTTCTCACATGCACTGTTCCCAATCCATTTCTTTCAATATTTCACATTTTATGCTAATACTGTATATGTTCACATAATCAAAAACATTTCTGTAATATCCAAGAATATACCTTCTTGTCACAACTGAGTAAATGATCTAGTCTCTCGTACATATTTTTAAAAGGCTGATGGACTTTTGTCTGAAACTCGTGTCACCAGTCTCCTTGAAAGTGTCCTGCAATACCACTCCCCCTTTCCACTCCGAATCACAGCGACATTATTACAGGCAAATGAACGTCTAAGCCACGAGTTTAGGACCAGGCCAGACTATGGTACAAGCGAAGCGACCTCAGTTGAGGAGGTCAGGAGGGGTCTGTTCCCTGTAAAACTCACCGGAGCTTGCGGTGGCCCCCGACCTGACCTCCTGCGGCTTCAGCTGCTCTGTGTCTACTGCTCTGAGCTCCTCCTGCTCCTCCGTGTCCATGAGAATATCCTCTATCTCGTCCTCCTCCTGAGCCTTGCTGGAGTCTTTTGCAGATTGTTGCTGTTCCATACTGGCTACATCTGCCAACAAAGTGCACAGACACATAGAAAGCTTAGGTCTTTGCATAACAAAGTATTGTGAGTGGGTGTGGTTTTTGTATTATTCAGTTTCTCACAGTCTACTAATGTTGGCTCTAACCAGCTGTGTGGCTTGGACACAGTGCTTGGCTTGTTCATGCCCAAGATGTCCTACTGACCTACTGATAAAACCACCTATTCTCTACCCCCCACAGAAGCTTATAAGGATGTAGTGTAACTACACATGCAACCACAGAAGTAGGATGTTTAGCTGGGTTTTTACTGCTATGACCAGAGACCGAGCGGCAGTAAACAGGCTGGGCACATGACCCTGAGCAGGTAGTTATGTATGGGTGGGGAAATGGTAGTGGTTAAGAGGATGACATCTGGCACAGAAAGACGAATGTCGACATCCCAGCATCTCAATCTTGGAGAAGTTCTTAAACTTCTTGGGCCTCAGTGTGCTCATCTATCAAATGGAAATATCCTCATTCATGAGATCATTAAAGGAATTCTCTGACCATGTGGCAAACACTCAGAACAGCATCTAGCACTAAGTAAAAGCTCAATAAATGATACCTGTTATTATTACTGCTTTATTTTCCTAATGAGCAGGGATGGAAGAAAAAAAGTAATCTCGGAGCAATTGTTTTTGTTCTATCCTAACGGGTAGATATTATCAACAGTTTATGTATTGGAAACAAAGTGAACCGTCACCAAGAACTAGAAAGAGAAGCAGATGAAGGCCTGAATACCCTCTTACGTGGGTATTTCCCCCTCCCTTTTCGCCTACAGAGAAAACACGAATTTCCAGTTCGCAGTTTCTGCCGCTGCAGGGAGGAACCTCAGGATGACCGTGAAGAAACGTCCAGTACTCCAAGACCCCTGTGCCAGTGCTGGGCCTGGGTACAGCCAACGGTTATCAAGAGTATTTCAAAAACTTATACTAGACCAGAAACACTGAGCATCTGCACTTGGCTATGGATACCTTTAAACCAATTTACATACCTGACAGTTATTAGAGAAGATTTTTAAAAAGTCATTCCCTTGCCTCCTAAGATGAATTTGTAGTAACAGCTAGTGGGCATACAGTCAAACAGAACAAACTCTCACAGAGAGCCCAGTGAGCAAAGAAGCCTCCCCTGCTCCTACCATAGGTCTGTGCATCGTAAGGGTCGCTCCCTTGTTTAATGTGCTCAAACGCAGCGGCGTCCTCCACCTGGGCCTGGGGCTGGGTGGGCTCCTGGTCCACACGGCTGTCTGTGTCCACCGTCCGCAGCCTCTTGTGTACATGCTCACTGTGATCGCCCAGGGAGCGTTCATTGTCCGCACGTCCGGGTTTCCTCTTAAAACTCTGTGGGAGATATGGGGAAATTCACCAGAGCCTTGTAAGAGGACTAAAAAAACCCATAATGTCCATCCATAGGAGGCTGGTTAAGTAAATTAGGTTTGGCCATACAAAAATGCCATTCAGGACTTCCGCCAAGATGGAGACGTAGGTGGAGGAACCACCTTGCCTCTGTGCACAACCAAATCTAAGAACAACTATTTTTAACAACAATCACAACCAAGCCACACGGAAAATCAACAATACGGAGTCCAAAGACAACTAAATGCTCAGCTAAACCGGTAAGAGAAGCGAAACCAGCAGCGGAGCAGGTTAGCAAGAAAAAATTTCTGGGTGGTGCGCGGTGCACAAGCAGCCGAAGGCGCTGATTGCGGGCTGGCTATGGGAGCGCACAGGGAAGAGGCGCGGCTGGCTGTCTCTGTCGGTCGCGCATCTGCCTGCAGAGAAACCAGTGAGAAGGGAAGCCTTCGTGGGGCAGCAGGCTCGCACAATTCCGATCCGATAAACAAGCCCGAGGTGTGTGGTGTGACTGGACGGGCTGGGCTAGAGGAGAGGACCGCCATTGTCCCTCTCTGACCACGCCCCCACACACAGCGTCACAAACCAGCGACCTGGGTCGCCCCGTCCTGGTAAACAACTAAGGCTTCGCTCCGCTTACTTAACAGCACAAATAGACCAAAAATGGCTCTAGAACAACTCAGAGCCCCAGAACCGATAGATCTAAGCGATGAAGAAATAGCCAGTCTTTCAGATGCACAGTTCAAAACACTGGTGATCAGAATGCTCACAGAACTGGTTGATTTTAGTCACAAATTAGAGAAACATATGGAAGCTAAACTAATTGAAATGAATGGTGATGCAAAAGATACCAATAGTAATGGAAAGAAAATTGGGACTCAAATCAAGGGAGAGGACCACAAGGAAGAAAAAAATGATCAAACAGAAAAGAATGAAGAAATAAGAATTCAGAAAAATGAGGAGAAGCTTAGGAACCTCCAGCACATCTTTAAACGTTCCAACATCCGAATTATAGGGGTACCAGAAGGGGGGAAAGGAACAGCCACCAGTGGAAAACTTATTTGAACAAATAATAAAGGAAAATTTCCCCAATCTGGCAAAGGAAATAGACTTCCAGGAAATCCAGGAAGCTCAGAGAGTCCCAAAGAAGTTGGACCCAAGAAGGAACACACCAGGGCACATCATCATTACATTAGCCAAGATTAAGATGAAGGAGAGAATCCTAGA